CATAGGAATTTAATGTGTGACATATAGATTCTGAAAATTTGTTGGGGTTTAATTTTCTTTAAATCTTTCTTATAATTATTATGAAATTTGTCAAAGTGATAGTGTCATAACTAGTTATAGATATGTAGTTGGCTTTTTTAGAAATTATTGATGGTGTTCCCTTTGAAAGTATGTCAAGATTTCCAATGGAATATTGATATGCCGTCAATAGCTATTTTGGGATAATAATTGGACAATTATATTATCTGGAAACTATTAGGGTTGTAGTGTTTGGAGAAATCATGACTTAACTCTTGACTTGAAATTTAAGAAATATGAGATTTGACTTATTAGTTAGAATCAAGATTGAGAAACTTTATTATAAATTTGGATAAATTGTTGGGTCAAAGTTAAACAGATAGTAATATGAGTGTTGTAAGATTTGAACTCTTATTGTGGTTTGTTATGCGGAATTTGATATAATACGAGAAAATATAAACGCGAAAAACAAGACAACAGATTTACGTGGTTCACCAATAAATTGGCTACGTCCACGGTAAGAGGGGGAGCAGTTTTATTATGGAGAGGCAAGAACAGAATTACAGAATAGGGTTTGCCATAGCGTCTATATATAGTGCTAAGCTACGTCCTAACAGGCTTGGGCCCAAAATACAGAATTGACAGATAATTAAGGGCCCAAATCAAGGCATTCAACATGGTTATTAATTTGAATGGATTGTATTGATTTGAAAGTACAACAAAGGAGGAAGGCTAAAGTCCCGAAGTGATTGTTCGATAAATTGAGGCAAGTGGATTTCTAAACTCTTGTTAAGTGTATGAAATGCGTGTATGTCCTTGTTGTATATGTTGGGAGTAACGGGATTGGTAATGGGTTGACTTGTCCACATTGATTAATTCTAATGATGAAAAGAATGGGGATAACAAAAGGCAATGTGATTAATTGTTTATGTGTGTTGTGTTGAGAAAGGGTTGAAGGCTTGTTGAATCATTGTTGATGTAACTTCATGTTTGTGTGGTTGTGAATTGTGCGATGTTATGAAAATGGTCATCTCCTCATTATTTGTGTGAACTTGTCATCTGCATTATTCTGAGGCATTGGTTGTGACAAGTGTTATGTGCATTGAGAAAGAATGGGTAGTTAAGAGGATGTACCATTTCGAGGGACGTATTGCGCGCCGCAATGGATACTATATTTAGAGGGACGTATCGCGCGCCGCGATGGTTACAATTATCGAGGGTCGTGTCGTGCACCGCGATAGATGCATGGACATATATGTCCCCCATGGGTCCCGGACTGAGAGACAGCGAGTGTGTATCACTAGGTCAGACATGCATCATTATCCTTGACATTGCATTCCATTGCATTGCACATATTTATCATTAGTGAACTTGATATCGTGCTTTGCTGATCTTCTGATTGCCTTTCTGCGGAACTTATGATTGATCAATATTGAGCTTGTTATTGCGGATATATAATTTGTTGAAGTATGATTGTTTAGGATGTGTAATTTGTTAAAGTGTTGTTTTTGAGGATATGTAATTTGTCTAAGTGTTGTTGTTGAGCTACGTGCTATGTAAACTGTGAGCTGTTAGGTTGGGTTGATTTTACTGCAGGATGTAGTAAAGGAGGTTCGTTTGGGGGTGGTAGGAGTACCCGTATTTCATCCCATTAGCTTGTGTTTAGAGGTCTACTTGCTGAGTACCGTGTGGTTTGGTACTCACCCCTTGCTTCTACAAATTTTTGTAGGTTATGAGCCTGGATTTTTGTTGTACTTGTCATTCTCTTCTTTTCTGAGGCTTCTTGGAGATTTGTGAGGTAGTTGTTTCCATCTCAACAGACTTTCTTCTCCATAATTATGACCTTGTCCTATTCTAGAAACAAGTTCATTTGAGACTTGAGTTTTTCTTTTGAACCAATTGTAATACTTTAGAGGCTTGTACACGTGACTACCAGGTTTTGGGGTTTTTATTAAGTTACTTATATTTTATTTCCGCACTTTATTGTAATAGTTGAGTTTTAGGCTCACTTGTCTTGGTGGGATAAGACGAGTGCCATCACGTCCATTTTTGGGTTGTGACAGTTTAATTTTTTTTTAGTACGCTTGAGAGTTTGTTTGATACAGTAAAATATATTTTATCATCAATCTTTTCATTTTTTTTAAATTATAAATTAAGATGTTTGAATTTTATTTTTTTAAGTAATATTTGTCTATCGATCATTTTCAAAAAAATGAGCATGTTTAGATGATGAATTGATCAAATAAATATGGAAACATATTTTATATGATAAATATTGTTATGAATGAATTACTACAAAAAAACGTGGAAGTACACTCCATGGCGAATAAGAAAAGCAAAGTTTAAGTATAAGAATATGGAGGTTAAAATTTAGGATAGAAGAATAGTAGATAATAAAGTATTGTGAAAAAAGGCAGGTGATAGTTTCACTTAGAGCTGTCAAAATGAACTTGACCCGCGAGGTCGGCCTAATTCAATCCTTGAAATAAGTGAGGTTGGATTTAATATTTTTTGCTCATTTATGAATGAGGCTTTTTAGCTCGCCTCGTTTGGCCCGTTGGCCTCTTAGGCCCAACCCGCAAGCCTCAGAGGCCAGCCCGTGGGCTATTGATTTTTTAAAATATTTTTATATATATTTTTTATAGTGTTTTATTTGTAAGAATTTTATGAATCAAGATTTACAAATGAATTAATGTATGAATTGATAGTGTGTTCATAGACGTCAACATTCGATACTCTTTCTAATAGAGTAATATTGTTCATTTTTTTAGTTGAAGGGTCAATCCGTCCCAACTCGTGGCCCGCTATTTTATTGGCCTTTTAATTAAACGGGTCAGCCCGCCACAATTCATTTAACTCTCTAGCCCGTTAGGGTTGGGTTGGGTCGGGCCAGGCAATTTTGATACCTCTAGTTTCACTATTTGTCTTTATTTTGTTGTTTTTTGTTTGACATTCGTTATTCATAATGAAGTTTGGTTAAATTTAAATTAGCGTTAAATAATCCTACATTTAAAGAATAAAACACTCTCTCACAAAATAACAACTTCATTCCCTAAAAGAATTTTAATTTAAAATCTTTAAATTAAAAGTTAAAGTACTTCTATTTAGTAGCTACATGGAAGACATAATACATAAATATATTCTTTAATTTTATGTACATAAGTAGATATTTACAATTGTATAAAATTAAACGAATAGACACTAATGTCTTACATGACTTTCTATATGTCATTTTTGTCCAACGTGTATTGTGTCATGTATGACTCATGTTTTTACTTGTTCAACTTTATACAAATTCAAGAGGGTGTTTGAATTGACTTAAAAGTTGGTCAAATACACTTTTAAGTTAGTTTTTAACTTCTCTAAGTGTTTGACAAATATAAAAATAAACTAAAATAAATAAAAATGAGTTACAATAAGTTACGAAATGTTTGACAAGGCAAAAAAGGACTTAAAAATAAGTAAAATGACTTAAAATAGTCGAAAATGACTTAAAATAAGTCAGAAACCAAATAGGTCTAGCATAACTTTTTGTTTTTTTTGACTTAAAAGTAATTTCAGTTTGACTTTTTATTTTTGATTTAAAACCTATTTTTAAGTCAATTCAAACGGAATTTAAGTGTCTATTTGTGCGTATTCAAAATTGAAGGATATAAGTATAAAATAAAATCGAGCTAACAATATTTTTATGTATTATGCCAACTACTTATTTAATTTTACATTTTTTTCAATTATGTATTCTTTTATTTACATTATTTATCTGTTTTGTGCTCGTTATTTTCTTTTACTTATTCTTTTAGTACACTATTTTAAAGCTACATCACCATAAAAATAATCATTTTATCAATTAAAGAGATAAAATTTATCTATATCTTAGGGAAATTACATTAAGTATTAAATATATTATTCTAAATACTAAATATATTATTTTTCAAATTTGCCTATATCTTAAATCTATCACTACTAATTATTGTAATTTGTTAAAATTAGGCCTTGATATAAAATATTTAATATCTGGATTAGTTATATTTATTGACCAAATTCTAAATGTAAAATATATCACTGACAATTCATCTGCACTTTTTGTCTTTCTTCCTCCTCTCTCTCACACAGTCACTGTACAACATTCACTTTCTCATTCCTTTGATCTATAAAGCATCAAAAAACATCTCTCCATTACTAATAACTTCTACTTCCATTTCTCTCTCACTTTTTTACAATCTTTTAAAATTTTCACCGGAAAAAATGGACCAAGTTCAGCCAATGTACCGGCCACCACCACCGGAGACACCAAAAGAACCTATGGAATTTCTATCTCGTTCATGGAGTCTCTCTGCTTTTGAAGTCTCTAAAGCTTTAGCTCCTCCTCAAGTTTTACCTAAATCACTGTTTGGTGGTACCCCTTCTTATATTGGGAGTGGTAGTGGTACTATACCGGAAGATATCGCAGCCGAATTAGATGAATCCGCCATTGTTTCCGGCAACCCTTTTTCTTTTGCTTCGTCGGAAACTTCTCAGCTTATTATGGAACGTATTATGTCTGTTTCTGTAAGTACCCCTTTTCACTGCTCTGTTTTTTTGCTAAAAAACAGAGGAAATTTGGGAATTTGACTTTTTTTTGTTTTTTTATTTCTGTTTTCAAGTGAAACCCATTTTTCATTTTTGGATTTTTTTGGTGGGTTTTACTTTTTTTTTTTGGATTTATGGGAAAACCAAGAGCTTCTTGGTAGGAGCTGAGTTTGGAGGACATTAATGGTGACACAACTGTTACTTTATGATTTCTTGAAAATATCAACAAGTGTATTGAATTTAATTTTTTTTCGCTTTTTCAGAGCTACTACTACTGGTTTTACTCTCTCTGGGTTTTGTTTTTGATTAATTTAATAATTTAAAATCCACCAACAATCATTCTCTCCATTTTCCTCTGTTAAAAAGAAAAAAATTAATTCTTTGTCTCTTTGTTTCTGGGATTCTGTAATTTTTAATCTTTAGTACTAATACACCTATTATTTTATTGATTGATTTATATTTATGTGGTGTACAGCAGGATGTTTCACCACGCACATCTGGACGGCTCTCTCACAGTAGTGGACCATTAAATGGTGGCTCTCTTACAGACAGTCCCCCTGTTTCTCCTTCTGAAATGGACGATTCTAAGGTTTGTGTTCTTTGTTTTTCTCGTAACATATGACTCAGATGTTGCTTCTTTTTTCTCCATTGTAAGTTTTTTTCTGATACAAAGCACAAGTTTCTGAAGTTTCAGACTTGTGATAGACAATATATCAGCTTTCTCTTTAACCAATACCCCTACAAACTCTACCAAATTGATGCTTTTCTTTGCTTTGTGAACAAAAGAATAGTCTTGACTCTTGTATCACTTGTTTAGTAAGATTTCCCCTTTTTTTAATCTGGTTTTGTGATTTCAAGAATCGATCATGTATTGACTTCTATGTAAGTATTTGTTTAATCCAATTCTGAAAGAAATGATTTTTTTTTTATATTAGTATGAGAAATGCATCTGTACATGATGGGCTCTGGGAGAAAGGACAGTGTATTCTGTATTCAGTATTCACTGTGATCATCTCTGTTTAGTACTGAGAAGATTTTGGTACCTGTATAGTTTTAGTGATAGTACTGAATGAGTAAATTACCAGATTGTCCTTTGTTTTGGATGTCAATATTGGGTTACTATTAAAATATTTCATTCTTGATGGGAGTTATGGTGGTGGGGGAGGGGGTACTTGTTTGTGAGCCAAGAAAAAATGGTCCAATTTACTAGTGGGGTTTTTTAATCAATTTGAGATTAAATGCTGTCATGAAGGTGTTTGGTTCATAAATGTTTGCTGTTAATTAAGTACCTTGCAGAATGTAGGTAATCTTTACTGGCATTAGTTTTTGCTGAAATAGTGTGGTGGGACTGTTTCAATGGATGCTGACACATAGTTTTGTTGTCTTCAGTACTGTCGTGTAAACAATGTACCGGTTAATAATCAGTATAGGAGTAGTGCTACTGCTACTAGCTCGGCTGTTACTGGTGGTGGCGGTGGTGGTGGAGGAGGGAGGACTGTGGGTAGGTGGTTGAAGGATAGGAGGGAAAAGAAGAAAGAGGAGATGAGGGCACATAATGCTCAACTTCATGCTGCTGTATCGGTTGCAGGAGTTGCTGCTGCTGTTGCTGCTATTGCTGCGGCTACTGCAGCTTCATCTGGTAGTGGAAAGGATGAGCAGATGGCGAAAACTGATATGGCTGTGGCCTCTGCTGCTACATTGGTGGCAGCTCAGTGTGTTGAAGCCGCTGAGGCTATGGGAGCTGAGCGTGAACACCTTGCCTCGGTTGTTAGTTCTGCTGTGAACGTTCGATCAGCAGGGGATATTATGACATTAACTGCAGCTGCAGCTACTGGTACACATCCACATTTTGCAATTATGTTAATTATATTCCACTGTTTGTGGTAGGTGTTGGAATTAACTTGTGTTAGTATATATGTTCTTTAATTTATAATTACTGTATTGTAGCTCTACGTGGTGCGGCTACCTTAAAGGCTAGAACATTGAAGGAAGTATGGAACATAGCAGCAGTAATTCCTGTTGATAAAGGTATGGGAAGTGGCAATGGTGGTGGTAGCAATGGTAGTTCAAGTGGCGAGCTAATCCCCGAAGAGAATTTTCTTGGAATTTGCAGCAGGGAATTACTTGCTCGAGGTGGTGAGCTCCTCAAACGTACTCGCAAAGGTATAAATTCAATTCTTGAACATGCTAATTAATCATTCTTAAGCGATGGTGTATCGTCTTTTTTTTTGTTCGTTATTAATAGTTCTTTGTGTAATGCTTGTTGCAGGTGACCTTCATTGGAAGATAGTATCTGTATATATAAATAGGACAGGACAGGTAAGGCATCTTTTTTTCAATAATTGTATAATCAATAGTTTCTTTAAGATCAAATAGTTCTCTTTGTGACAATGATTCTATGATCACAGTAGAAACTTCTTGCTAAAAACTGATGAATAAAAAGTTAAAGTTATCGCGTATAATCGAAACAAAGGAATCTACTTTCTTACTGCAGATTATTAAGTTGGAGGTTTCTTTTTTTTTGCAGGTGATGCTAAAAATGAAGAGTAGGCATGTTGCTGGGACCATAACAAAAAAGAAAAAGAGTAAGTTTTTGCCTTTGCTTTTTGTCTTTCTTCCTCTTTCTCATGATGTGAACACAATTGGATTGTGGGTCTTTCCTTCTATTTTTTGGGGATTTGAGAAAGCAACAAATTCCACAACTTTGATCAATGATAAAAGATTGATAAAGTTGTCATCTTTATCATAATAATGTGTAGTGTTCTTTAGCCTTTTCCTTTTTGATGTTTTTTGTAGATTTGGTTCTGGAAGTGATGAAAGATATTCCGGCTTGGCCAGGGCGCCACTTGCTTCCGGGTAGTGACAACTTCAGATACTTCGCGTTGAAGACTGTTCTACGAGGGGTCGTTGAGTTTGAATGTAGAGATCAGAGAGAGTATGATCTATGGACTCAAGGTGTTTCAAGGTTGCTAAGTATTGCTGCGGAAAAAAACAGTAGACATAAATTTTGATGTTGTTTTTTTTCAAGTGTAGAAACTTGCATAATGAGTAAGTTTGGTTTAGTAAGGGGTTTTATGTTTTTTTTTGCCTCTTTTGATGGGATTTTAGACTAACAAAATGCTATGATATTGGATGGGGTGTTTGTTTTTTACTTGTGGAAGTATTTCTATTGTAAAAAAATGAAATTAAAAGTATATGTTATCCAAATGGGGTCCTACTTATTTTACTTTTTAAGAATATAATTTTGAGCTTATGTTATGGTCTTTGTTGTGTTTCATTTTTGTTAAAGTGAACCAAAGAAAAGATGGAAAACCATGTGAACCATGTCCTTTATTGTTATATATATATATATATATGTTTTGTGGGGAAAAGGAAAGTGGTATCTTGGACTGTGGCTCAGTCAAAAAGAGAGAAAAAAAGATTTAATATTTGAGTATAATATAAGTGGGATATGAAGATTTGTCTGTGATTTTATGGCACTTAAATCAAATATTTGGACCTAAGCTTTTATACCTTTGTTTGTTATTGAAGCTCACATCAAGGTTTCTTTTTAGATAGATACACTTTAATTTTGTCTTGATCTATACTAATTTCTTTTGTTTCCATTTGGAGGCACAACTTTAGTAGGAATAACATTTTATCATCCGATAAAAAATAAATTTTGTGTCTAACTCAATTCCTTAAATTAACTTATGAAAAAAGAACTGCTCAAGTCATATTATTAAGGAGATGCTCCTTTTTTTTGTTTTTATATCAGGTGACCTTTTCAATATTTTTTCTTGACATAATATATAAATATGTTTAATTTGATCTCGATTGATACCTATGTCATGCTATTTTAAATATGCATAAATAGACCATTAAATTTATATAAACTTGAGTAAATATACATACGCATGCTACATGACATAATAGATACAAAATGCTGCGAATGACTCGAATTAGATTAAGAAGAATATGTGCATCTAATAAAAAATTATATATCTAATCATATACAACCAAAACTAATAGTAAACAACATAAATGCCAAATAAGGCCAAATGACATTCATATATGCCTTTTCTCTTTTTGATTCTACTTCAACATTTAAATTATTAAATTAAAAAAAAAAGTGCAATCAAGTTACCAATTGGGAAAAAAAAAAGAAGAGCCACATATGTTTAGGATAAATCTTACACTATAGGATATCTTCCAGTTTGCTAATTAGAAAAAATCCATAAAACTCTATACACAAGAAAATTTATAACATTCTCTCAAAAACATATATTTCCAAGTAAATTGGAGTATTTATTTTTTTATTCACCAGAGATTCCAAGAAGAGCTAAGAAGAGATTAACAATGTCTCCGAAAAGGCAAATTGCTGCAATGACATATTCATCGTACGTGAAGTTTCTGATTAAGTTATTCGTATCGTATACCAGATATGCTGAGAATAGTAATGCTGCAAGACAACTATATACCACTCGTGCTTCATGTCCTAGATCGAGAAGAAACTGTTGCATTTTGGAAAAAAATATATGTTAGGGAAAAATATATGTATTCGCATATATAGATATATATATATATATATATACACGTATACATACCTGCAATAGAATAAACATAAATAAGACTATTGAGGCACAAAATAAGAATGGGCCTAAAAAAGTGAAGTCTTTGCCTCTACTTGCAGCCCAAAATGTGTATAAGGTAAGGCTAACAGTTATAAGAACTGTTAGCCCAGCAGCAATCAAGATAGTTTCCCCTGTAAATAAATAAACCAAAACATTACTTAAATCAAACGCGTAAAAGGATTCAATGAATTCGAAAGATGTAATTGGAGTGTAAAATAATCCAATGAATTCGAAAGATGTAACGGGTCGTATGAGGCGAAAATCTGAAAATTGTTACTCATATTTAAGTGTCAATCTTAATTATTCATTTATTTTTGTGTAAAGTTAATATTCATATCTAATTTCACTTACGCTACAAGCATATTAACAAAAAAATAAATAGAATTGCATTTCCATCAACATGACTAATCTCCTTGTAAATGTAGAAAAACAACTACCAAAAGTGTGATGGGGTAGTAATAACGAGAATTTCGAGCGATCAATGGATTAATCAAATTCTAAAAAAAATATATAACATCAGATGAAAATTAAAAGAAAAAAATAGAACGAAGATCTATGATGTATTTTCGTTATACAATTTTCACATTATGTATTTTATGCGACGATCAATTAACAATGTTGGTGTCCAATATGCATTATTAAAGACATACAACGATAATAAATTCAGTCCTACGATGATGGTATACACAATTTTACTTTACCTTACGAAATAGAAATATTACTTTACGTTAGACTCTTGACTCAAAATATCCTAACAAGATTTTTCATACTGTAAATATAATTTAACGTATTATAGCAGATTTAGAAAATATTACCGGCTCTTAAAGCGCAGGCTGCTCCAACAACACATGCCAAACACAAGGTGAAAATTCCCATAAGAAGATAGTTCCATGGATGTTTTTTCCCATATCGACCCATCAATAAGATAACTGCAAATTTTATAACAAATATAAAATAAATCGAAATGATTAGTAATAATATTTAAACTAAATCATAAAAATTGAGAATGATGACATTAAATAATAACATATTCAACATTACTATGATGGAGAGAGAGTGAGGAATTGAACCATCTTAATCAATTTTGGAATTAAATAGTTAGAATAAGTTCTCCACAAACTGTGAATTGCATTTGTCTAACTTTCTTTTATACTTCATTAGTTTCAATTTATATATATTGCTTTCTTTCTTGATTTGTTTTTTTTTAAATGTTATTATCTATATTTAATACGTCAATTTTTTATAGTAATACCTCATATTAAATAATTCGTTTCAAATTATTTAATCTTCATTTCTAAAGATAGTTTTGCTAAAGATATTTGTTAAATCTTGAAGTATCTAAAGTTAATTATTTTTTCTTTCATGTATCCTTGATAATAACTATTTTTAATATTAAACACGACTCAAGATGACATATAACTAAAGTTAATATTTAGCAAACAAAAATTATATCTCAAAGTTATAAATAAAAATATAATAATCAAGCCCTCCACCCCACCCTCACCTCCTCATAATTAATATTTCTTTTTTTAAAAAAAAAATATATAATAAATACGATAGATAATTTGAGTCAGATAAAACAATTAAAGTAATAGTAAACAAGAAAATATAATAAGGAAATAAGGTAAGAAAAAGAGTTTTACGTATAAAAGCAATGATAACAAGAACAATTATGGTGACTTTTCCCAAAATGGTTCTCATGTAATGTTTTACGGCCGGAGTGAAGAACATGGCGGTGGCGATGATGGCGGTGAAAAAAAGTTGTGTGCAAACTATAGAGTAAACTTTTCTTATAAATGCCCATCTCATCTGAGGATCATCCATCTGACCCGGATATATTTGACCGCCATTAACGCCACCCTTGTTACCGGACTCAATGTCCGCACCACCTTGTTTGAACATCTTTGTCACGTTTTGCTTTTCGAGAAATCTGATCAAAATTAAAATTTGAATTTATTATAAGAGGAAAAGAGTCTTTGAAATTAAAAAAATAAATGAAGTAGTCCAAAAAGGAAAATTAAGATTATATTTGATCATAAATCAACTTTATTTTTAAATATATATTAGGTCATAATTCATCAAAAAAAAAATGATAAGGTTTTGAAGATTTAGTAGTAATTATATTGTACGTCTAAACATAATTTTGAATTCCTAAAATGGCAATATTAAAAAACTCAAATTTTCATACAACAAAAAGAAAGCTAAAATTATTCAATTTCACAAAATTTAAGAACATCTATTGTTATTCTTTTATTTTATATCAAATTTTTAACTTACGTCTTTAAATTATAAATTTACCTCTAGAATTGATAAAGAAAAATGTGTTTAATCAGATATCACATCAACCCCGTAAAGGGGATGAAATGATATGTGAGGTTAATGGTGTTGTTTTCACGCAGATAACAATTGTTTTTCAATGTGAAGAAAATATTGGATTAAGATTGAAATATTGAAGAAGAAGAAGAAGAAAGATTTTAAAAAGAGCAAAAATTATTCTTTGACTTCTTTTTTACTTTCTTTTTGGAATTGTTATTGAAAAAAATTGGAAATGAGAGGTTGGGAATTAATTTTGTATACGCAGCCACACAGTGAACATATAGCTAACTATTTTTTCGCATTTTACTAAAAAAATATCGTGTGCATAAATTTGTGTTCTAATAACGAATATGTAGAATGGTTGTTATAATTTATTATCTTCACAAACTCTGCTACGTTTCGATTGGATTATATTCGTATAAATCATCCATGTATATTAATGTATCTTATATATATCATGTATATTTATTTATAAAAGTTGTGTTACATGCATTTACTCATATTCACTATACTGTCAAATTTAGGTGTTTTTAACAAACTTTTATCACCACATTATGAAAATACTAATAAAATAGGAAAACTATGCAGACTAGTAAATTTATAGCCAATATTAGGTACTATAGCAATAATTTATGAAAGCTGTCATGGCTACAATTTTTAAATTCTTGCTATTCATCTGATTTGTACATTTCTCTTGATTTTATAAAAAGTCAGAATTCGTATAATTCGATTCCTGATTGTATAGATCCAAAAATTTTATATGTTGACCCTAGCTATTTGTATATGATTTATGAAAAATTACCTTTTATATATTAGCAAGAAAAAAAAATATAAATATGGTGTTCTGGAAAATTTTCTAATGTATATAAATTCATAATTTACATATACTTACTCTTTTGTATATTTGTAAGCGAAACATACAAACTGCAGTCTTTATAGTAAACAAAATTATAGCTATTAAGTACAATTATCGAAACTATAGCCGTAGAATTTTATTACGTTTATACGCAAAGGGCCCAACAAATTGGGTCATCCGTTTGATCTGGGCAAACATTAAACTCACATTGGTTAAAGATTAGTGTTAGAATTTATAATGATAACACGTAGAAATCTCAGTTAATTATATTGATATATATTAGTTTATGATATTATGAATCTTATCATAATTTGATACATTTAATATATGAGGTCAAAATTAAATATAATTTTATAAATACGTCATATCCAAGTGACTCATATATATATATGGACTATATATTTAATAATGTTTGCCAAATATATTTTCCAATCAATTTGGTCAAACATTTTTTACCAAATTTACTAATGGCAAATCTTTAGTTGACTCTAGTACCCATTGTTTCCACTGCCCCAAGTACAAAACAAAAACCCAAAATACTATGGGAACACACATGACTTATAAGGTGTGAGCAAAACAAGGGCCAAAATAATCAACTTTATATACAAGCTATCAAGAAAATAATATAAGTAGATTCCAAAACACACCCACAAAAAAAAAAATTAAAAAAAATATAACAACAAACTCATCCATGGTGATAACTTACTCTTCTTCCCCTACTACATCCTCAACAATTTTTGACATTGGAAATTATTCAACTAAGTTGTTGAATATTGAGCCACAATCATGCATTAATTCTTCTTTTCCTTCTCCTCCAAAGCCACTCTTGATTTCTACTCCATCACAAGGAGGAAATTTTCCAGTAATTTTATTCCTTCATGGTTACCTTCTTTTCAATTACTTTTACTCTCAGCTTATCCAACATATCTCTTCTCATGGCTTCATTGTTGTTGCTCCTCAGGTTTGTTATTTTTTCTCACATTTTAGTTGTCATTTCATTGATGTTCTTCAGGAATTATGATTCTCAATAATTAGAGATATTCTCTATTTTTTTTAATAACCGCGAAGTCTGAGCTAGCTTGCACCTCATACTAATATCATTAGTACCTACTATTAAAGATATCATATAACTCTGTCCATCACCACTTAGGCGGTCGAAAAGAATTCATAATAATTTGGGATATTTTTTCCTTTTGCATGTGTAGATAAATTATAAAAAGTATTTCCATCATTTCAAAAAGAATAAATTTTTTTTTTTTAGTCTGTTTAGAAAAGAATGACTTCTTTATTTTTCTGGTAACATTTTAATTTAAATTTTCCATGTTGTATGTTTAATGCCACAAAATTAAATAACATTTTTGTACATTTCATATAACTTTAAATGAGCATGACAAGATTAAATTTTTTTCTTTATTATCTTAAACTTGGTGCCAAATAACTCTGTTTCTTAATAATTTAAGATATTAATTCCTCTTCCTTTGCCACTAATTTCCTGATAATTTGATGCAAGATTTTCGATAGCATTGCTTGATAAATCATGTGATACATTTGCAATTAGCTCCGTAAAAAAATGTAATCGAGAGACGAAATATATATATATATATTAGTTGTTCATGGATACTCAATGCAGTTATGCAATATGAAACACTAGTTACTAACAGATTGCCAGTCTTATTTTCCAGCTGATTAGTTTTGCTTATTGCAGACAAATTTGGCGATTTGATAATGTAAAAGCTTTTTTAGACTATGAATTGTATAGAAATTGTTAAAACTTATTTGTATTATGCATGTGATTATGATTTTCTCGGCTCTCATTTTCATTGTTCATATGCATACATTACTAGTTGTATTTGGTGGAAGGAACAGATACAACTACGGATATAAAATCTACTGCTGAAATCACAAACTGGTTACCTGACGGATTACATCGTTATCTTCCCTCTCATGTTGGGCCAAATTTGAAAAAGCTCGGGTTAGCTGGCCATAGTCGCGGTGGAAAAGCTGCATTTGCGCTAACTCTTGGTAAAGTTACTAATGTTACTACTGATCTAAAATTCTCGGCATTGATCCTGTTGATGGTTTGGGTAATGGAAAGCAGACCACGCCACCCGTCCTCACATACATTCCTCAGTCTTTCAATCTGGATATGGCGGTTATGGTAATTGGCTCGAGTTTAGGAGAGGTAAAAAGGAATCCTCTATTTCCTGCTTGTGCTCCGAAGGGAGTAAATCATCGCGATTTCTACAACGAATGTGTTAGGCCAGCGTGTTACGTTGTAGCTAAGGATTATGGACATGTTGATATGCTAGACGATGAAACGAAAGGGGTAAGAGGAAAGGCAACTTATGGTTTGTGCAAGAATGGTAAATCTAGAGAGCCTATGAGAAGGTTTGTTGGAGGAATTGTGATTGCTTTCTTGGACGATTATTTGAAAGGGAATTCAAGTGATTTAATGCCTATTAAAGATGGATATGTTACATTGCCTGTTGAGCTTCGAGATGTGGATTTTCGAATGTAGTTACAATGTGACTTTGATTATGAAGAAATAAATCCAAGTGCTCAACTATCTTTTTCTAAAATCTCGTGATGTACAGGTCTATGGTACCTGCTATCTCATACCAATACATGTTTCTCATTATATTATCTTGAATAGTCATTTCTATTTATATTTTCATCATGCAACAAGTTAGTGGTCTAGTTAGGTCATATTAAGCCATAGAGAATTTGATCCTGTTTATATCATTTCTGTTATTCTCTAGTATTAGCATTTTCCTGAAGCTATTCTACTATCATTCTAGTTTTTAGATGAACGATCCTTCTATTTAGATCGGTGATTTCGTTTGACCGAGTCAACTATCGAAAGTATTGCAAGCAATCTACACTAAACTAGAAGCTAAAAATAGAAATTCCACGAATCCTTTGGTGGATAAATCCAACGACTCAGCAGTAGTGCAGAATTAAATTTCTTTGTCTGGTAGATCTGATCTATAGTTAGGGGGCAATATATATCAAAAGGTTCGAAGAAGGGCTGGCACGAAGTTAGCCGGGGCTTCTTTCTCGAGTCCTGTCATGATCGCGCACTTAACGCTATGAAATAGCTATACTATATTAGTTGAAGAAGGTATTATCAAACGACGGTCCAGTGCACTAAGCATGATCACCCATTAGGAGAATGGTTGTACCGAAGGGGTGCGATATAGCTAGACTATTCAAATGCAAATGATTGTTTCCGATCAACTTTGTGTTCTTTGGAGCCAGAACAAAGTGTGTCCGGTATTTTATTAAATAAGTAAAAACAAATGTTGCTGCTACTAATGAAATTTGAAAATGCAAACACTATATTTATCATTATACTTGTATATACAAATAACAATATCACTTTTTGGCTTCGATAAACTTGAACCAAGACCCCTCATTGGTTGCTTCAAATATTTAATTTGTTGTTGGTTGCTTTGACCGAGGCTATTTTAGTCTTTTTCCTAACCCTCAACCTGTTGAGGGCATTCTGGTACTTTCCACTAAATCAAGATTAGGGTTTTCCTGAGCCGACTTGCCGCTCTCACACTCTGTATATTATATATATTCAACTACCTCTGTTTTTTCTTTGAAACTCCATTGTTGCCTCCGTTTAGCAGCAAGTATTTTTTTTTTCTTTTCTTTTATGGATCAATTGATTAGTTATATTTTGTGTTTTCCATGTGATTTTGAATTTCTGAATCTAGTCTCTTTGAGGCTGTGATGATGAATAATTATACCATCAAACTTTGAAAGTTTATACATTAAACTTGTTGATTCAAATACAATTCTCTGATGCCTCTTTCTTAGTAATTAACAACAACTGGAAACTTCTTTATTTTTCTTTAATTATGACATAAAGGCAATAAATTAGAGTCTCTGATGCACTTTGTTGATAGTGTAATCAGCGCTGTATGTTGCCGATTATGAAATTTTGGCGGAGACTATGGCACCAATCATTCAATTTCTCAGATGCATTGTGCATTCAGATGCCTCTACACTTCCCATAATTTTCAGTGCTTTTACTATGAATGTTCATATTAAATGCTTCATTATTATTATTTTTTGATATTTGTTCTTTTTAAAAAAAAATATATTTTTTAATAAAAATTCATACTTATAAGTTATACTTAGGAAAATTCTAACACTTAAATTTAAAAATTAATAATTCACAAATGTATTAACATTAACTTAAAATAAAAAAAATTATAACAATAACTTGTTGAACTAATTTGTTATTCTAAGTGATAAAATATATCTGAGATAGAAATACTAACCAATTTGTTATTCTAAACAATAGAAGATACATCTTATATATAGAAATACTTAGAAATAACTCAATTTGTTATTGATTCAAAATTCAATTTCTTCAAGAATTAGGAATTGCTAGAATTTGAGTGTAACATTGACATTGCTAGTATGTATAGGCCACCATTTTACGATTCTCTAACCTGCATGAATATGCATGAATAAGTTAGAAGAAATATGAATTACGATCATTGATAATAAAAATATATTTTTATATATTTTTCTTTGTTTGAGCTTTGAAAGTCAAAACTAGATTATAGTCTCACTTTGAAAGAGAACTTTGAAAATTAAAAGTAGATGTATTAGATCTATCATGCGATAGAAGTAGATCTAGGTGGAGATGATTGAGAATCTGTTGAATATTTTTAAAAATTCTCTCCAAACAATGCATTGATACAAATATTCTTTTCTTTATCTATATTTTTCTAAGCTCTTCAAGTTCAAAGTTAACGCACACAAATTTATTACTAGGATTTTACACGAAAATAATATAAATTATTGGGTTCATTTTTTCACGATTATTTAAGTTAACATATACAAATTTTTGGGTTCATTTTCTCACGATTATTTCGTATGTATTGAACTTTTTATTATACAACTTACCATGTACTCAAATTAAGATTTCACTTATTAAATCACAATTTCAAATATATAATCAAGCTCACATATATTTGATAATCAACAATGAAGCTCACATACATCTGACAATCAAGCTCACATATATCTCACATATATTCGAAGTTATAAATATACAATCAAGCTCACATATATTCGAACTTTAGATGTAACATAATGTGAACTGTAACATATTTTGTAAGTTCACAAATTATATAAATATGTTTTATAAATATTAAAATAGAATTTTTGTTGTTTAAAAATAAATAAATAAATAAATATATATATATATATATATATAAAAGAGGTTAATAAGACCGCAACTAAACATATTAAAATATTATCTTTATTGATTTTTTCCTCAATTTCATCTAAAGGTCAATAAAATTAAATTCTTCAAAATTGCTATATTTTCTATCAGAACAACATTTATCACAATAAAATAAAAAAGATTCGTATATTTCGTATATAATAATGTCAATTAAACTATCAAATGTACCTTTTTATGATTTGTTGCATAATAATTAAATTTGACTTTGATTTGAGTAACAATTTCCAACCTACATATCTTTCAACATTAGAATCATTGATTGCATAAGCAGTGCTTTCAATAACATAAAAAAAATACTATATCCCTTGAAATATGTATAATAAGAGTGAGAATTTAAATATATCACTTAGAAACACATTCACTGCATTCACAAGAAAGAAATCAACAAAAATGGCTAATTCCTTCCCCTTGATTTAACAAACTCAATGTTGATGATGCTTTTCATATAATATAATATTTTGTAACTACTCTTTATAATAAAACAATATCTTATTAACCCCAACAATTATACATATCAATTGCTATTATCAATTTCGTTGCACTTTAAACATGTAATTCATTTGTTAATAATACATGAAACGAAGGGACATGCTCTTCTATGAAAAGCATATAACTATAACATATTTTGGCACAAATTGAAGATTAAACATATCATCAAATAACGATTTAGATTTTATTGTTTAGCTACCCTGTTATTATCGGGATAAGCTAGTAATTTAATTTTTTAGGGAGTTACTCTTAATACATCTACAACAACTTGTGCAAAATCAGCATATTCATTACATTTATCGTTCAAATTCGATGATATTTTCACACAATCTTCGTCTTGACAATCCAAAATTTTGTCAGCAGAATATAAAATTGCAACCGCTGCTACGAAAGTCGTGCCTGCAGACAGACTTTGATTTGCATCTGGGATAATTGCTTTTACTAATAAACTATAGTCTTTATAGCAATTTTGAAGACATTGGTTGGGATCATTTGGATTGGTAGAATTTTGATTATCTATCAATTCCTTGACGTAGACAAGATTGTGAGCGGCCCGATCTAGAGCCGCTCCAATCATGATATACGCTAGACCTTTGGCATCGGTATAATTACTGTACTCACTTGAATTATAAAGAGTTTGGGAACACAAGGCATTATTTCGAGTCTGGATACACACATTGGATACTAAATCGGCAGATGCGTATCGAAGGAAAATGAAGGGAATAAGAAAAATTGTTACCCATGGTGTATAGGCCATGATTTTTTTTTTTTGAAATTTGTGCTAGATGAAAAAAAAAAGAAGATGTAGATGCATCCTTTTATTATGATTATTGGAAAATCTGGGATTAGATTTCATTTTAGGCATGTATAATAAATATATGTATCAAATTGGTCAAAAGTTTTAAATGCTTACTATTTTGAGAGAATCTTTTCTTTCTTGTTTATATATAAGGAAAAAGAATTAAATAATTTTAATTAATTCCAATAAGATTTTACTTGAAAGATCTACAACTGAGATTTGTTAATTACTTTTTTGGTTTACTTTTAGTGGTCACAGTTTGACTTGACACATATATTAATAAACTAATATTTAATATGACTATTTTATTAAATTATCCCAGTTAATTGATTTTTATAGTATTAGTTTTTGAAAAATAATTTAAAGAACAAATAATTATTATTAAGGATGAATATGAGAACAAAATAAATATATTTTTTAATATGTTAAAAAAATCAAAACAAAAATTTAACTTTAAAATAGCGGATAAATATAAATGAACCGAAGCGATAATATAAATGAATCAAATGTATAACCTAACGAATCAGATAAATGATAATTAAAAAAAAGATAATATCTCATAAGAAAAACTTTTTCAAAGGAGAATAAAACAGAAAATTAGTTGTGTGGATAGAATTATGCATTTAAAAGGCTGCCATTTTAGTAAGTTCAATGAAAGATTGAATCTTACTTATAATCACTACATGTCCACCACCACACAGAACACAGATTTTAAAAAAGAAGAAAATTATTTTCCAAAGAAAATACAAATGGAAAGAGAAAAAAGAAAATTGAATACTTGATTGATGGTTAGAGTTATGTGTATTAATAAGATATAATACATAATTTGGATAATGTATAAGTACCTACTCAATTTATGGTTGAAACTACAAAGACACTTATGTTATACTAAGGTTCTATTATCCCATAAACTTATTTTATTAATAATTTTCTCCCCTTTTTGACTTACGTGACACTATCTCGTTAGTCCAACGATGGTTGACTTTTTCTTTCAAGTTAGGGCCACATAAGCCGAAAAGGGATAGAAAATTACTTATAAAATAAGTTCAGAAAAGTAATAGGATCTTAAAATAGTATAAATGTGTCTCTAAAATTTCGGAAATAGATTGAGGGAATAATTGTGCATTTTCCCTACATAATTAGACACTCTAACTTAATTTGAGCTGCCAAATAAATATACTGTCTTTGAATATGCACATTAAGAATCACTTTTGAAAATAAATTAGATTTTAGAATTTATATGGTGACTAATACATCAATTATCTAATTATATGTCAAGAGTTAGTAAAAACAAAATTTTTAAAAATAGCAAAGACTTGAAATACATGTAATGAGGTAAAATAGTTGTAATTTACTTAATTATGATTTGAAGCTACATATTAGAAGAGGAGAGAGGCGAGCAAGACTAAGATCTCATTTGTTTGCACTTAATGGAGATCTGAATTTTAATCAATCAGACTTGTAAGAGACTTCTAACAATATTCAGACTCATTTGATAAGTTATTAAATAATAAATCATAGTTTCTCTGCTTTTACCGTATTTTTTAATCTCATAAGTAAAAAAAAAAATTCTCATTTTTGTCAATCGAACACCATTTTTTCTCAACTGGTAAGTTTTTATAAATCCTTTCAAGGTTTTTTTTTATATTAATAATTTCTTGTATTGATGTGTGTTAAGACTCAAGAACACTAATGCAATAATATTTTTGGTATATTATTTTTTTATAAGGTTTTTGAATAAAAAAATAGTACTACAAATCATAATCAAAAGTAATATATTTTGTCGAAAGGAAAATTTTATGATATTTTATTAATATAATGTTCAATTTCACTTTCACATTCAGATATTGAAAACAAATACATTGATTATTTAGTGTTTAGATTTAAAGACCACATCTTAATATTCAGATGTATATTCAGATCAAAATACCAAGATCTTAATGCAAATCTTATTATTCAGATGTGTATTCAGATTCATACATTTTAATCTTAACGGAAACAAATGAAGCCTAACAGAGAAATAAGAGAAGCGAGCAAGCGAGAGGAGAGAGACGAATTGTATTTATAAATCTCGTATATATGTAACTAATATATAAGTATATGTCATGATTGTTTTTGTATATCTACTTATAATTGTATATGTGTAATTAGTGCATATATATATATATATATATATATGTATATATATATGTATGTATATATGTATACGTATATATGTATATGTATATATATATGTATATGTATATATATATGTATATGTATATATGTATATGTATTGAATACAATTGTATCAATGTTGTATCAAGTTCAATATTTATATTTATATAATTGATTGTTATCATTTCTAATAATATTGTATAAATAGAATACATATATATTCGTGTTTTTTTTATCACTGAAGAGAATTTGTATGATTGACACTTATTATTTATGTTTGTATAATTAATTATTTGTATCT